GAAACTTGGCTAACATTTCAGCCTGCCGGAAATCGAACCAAGGTTCAATTACTGCACAGAATCTTGCTATCACTTGTACTCCAAATATAATCCAACAGTAATTTTAACTCTTGAGCTCAAATGAATCTTAACTGAGACATTGGTAGATCAGCCTCAGAGCAACAACGGTGAAATATTTTGAAATGCAACAGAATTGTGGCAACAAGTAGAAATTAAGCACAGAATGTGTTTTGCCCACAAAATATAATCAATTCACTTTACAGCATATTCTGTGAAAGGCTTTGAGATGCCTCAACAATGTGATAAGGCGCTATATCCAATGCAAGGATATTATATATTATAGAATGACTGGACCCTCTACAGAAATAATTAGCCTTTTTGGAGGCTTCCATATTGATGGATAAGAAACGGGGAAACACGGTGCTCACCCTTAGCTCGGGTGCCCCTTCAGCAGTGTGGGTTAATGTGCTACAGACATATCCAATGATGGGGGATTATACAGAGCTGGGACACCCAATGAAGAAGAAACAAAAGAAAGATCATATTTAAAATAATAAGTGGATAATGTTTTGTAAATTTTACAAAAATAGAGAGCATTCATAAATTGCTTGCAGTAGGAACTTGTAGCTAAAAGTCATTCTCATAATCTAAGTTACAAGCAGAATGTTGTACAATCAATGAGAGATTTCTGCAATTGTATCCTGAATAACACTGCTCATTTCACACATTTTATACTGAGTGTGTCACTCACCAAGAAGTTCACAAGGAGTTCCCGGTACCTACTATACACCTAGTTAGGACTCAAACCTATATCCGTCAGGTGTCTAATGACCAACTAGTGACTCCTCCTGGGGTGAAGGCGGAGGTGATAAGTACAATTTTCTTTTGACTGAGCTGGCTTCAAAGTGACATATCTGGTAAGGGAATATTAGGATTGAGTCCCCCTCACCCTGTGGTAATCTGAATCTTGAGGCAGTCAGGAATGACAAACTAATTAGCCTGGTTCATTGGCAAGGTTCGGAGGGGTCAGAACGCTCACCGAGGTAGGAATTCTTCCCACTTGGTTCCAGTAGGAACTCTGCAAGCCAAAACCGTCAAGAATAATGGTCCTAGATAGACATGCAGCATAAATAAAACTTGCCAAACAGCTTTCACAGTGGAATTCACTAAGCAGTTTTAGCTGGTTACATTCCAACAGTATCCCAACAGGTACTCTGTGTTCCCCCAATGCCTTGGTTCATGCCAATCTGCATCTAATACTTTCTGGAATTAGGTAAGCAGAGTGCATCTCCCCCCCCACCTTCCCCCCACATACAGAGAGTGTGCACATCCATTCTAGACAAAGAAAAATGTATATGTGTAAATGGCATACGTATGTAGAACTCTGTCTTGTTTACATACTGCTTAGCCATTACATTCCAAAACTTTGGAAAACTCTCCCTCAACCCCTGCCTCCTCCTTTTCCATCTTCAGGTCAGACCTGAAGACCTCTTTGACCGTGCTTACAGTCACCTCTTCCTTCCCCCCAACTCGGTGTCGTGCTCCGCCACTATCAAGTGACTCTGGGATGCTACCCCACATGAGGGGCACTATATAAATGTAAGTTGCTGGTTGTTGTTGAATAAAAACTTTTCTTTCTGTTGAGGTGAACGATTGTTTGTCAAAATTGACCTGACAATCTTGCATCTTAATAATATTATAAGGCACCAGAAATACTTCTCTATGGCTCCGCCAAGGTCAATTTCACAGGGACTATATGAAGAAGCTCCACCGAAGGGAGAAATTCATGTCTACTGTACTTTGAAAGGGATCAAAGATTGTGTTCTGTTTTAAGAGGAGAAAATTGTTTGAAACGTATTTCTGGGAAAGTGTGAAAACATTTAAGGATTTCTCCCAATTTAGGTAAGATGTGCGCAATTGACAGCCACGTTTTGCCCACAAAAAACAATCGACTTTACAGTATATTCTTTGAAGTGCTTTGAGACATCTCAACAATGTAATAAGACTCGATATCAAATAGAAGGATTATTAACACAAGACGTAGTTGATGGGACAGGACTGAAACTGACATTTCCTCAGCCGTGGAATTAAAATGAATGGGAATATGGTCTCATTAAATAAGTCAATAAAAATGGGTGCCAGACATACATTGTTGCCAGACATACCTTGCATTTTTCATCAGAATCTGAGCACCAGCCAATTGTATTTTTTTTAATATGTGTGTCAGCTACAACTCTTACATAGTCAGAACTCTCTCCCCAACCCCCAAGCAATTGACCATTTTAACTCCCAGTAAGATCTACCCCATTCAGCGAAGGAAACACTTGCACCAGACACAAGGGAAGGTTACCAGGTAGCTCATCCCAATTTGAATCTGGTAAAATATTGCTGTGAAATGACACCTCGTTTCACCAGCGGTCATCTGTGCAGACGTGAGCTCAAACCAGGTCTCCAACTAGGGTCAGCAATCTGAGCTGCCATTTCCACCAAAGTCAATGGTTACACAAGTACCATTCCGATAGGAGCGAGAGGGTTAAGGCACATGTAGCCAAGACAGATAAGTGGAGGCGAATCTCAAGAACCCAGAACTAACATCCACGAACAGCAGAGGTCTATCTCTCAAAGTGTTTGCTCCTAAATAACTCGTGCGACTGCAGGAACCCCCTGAGAGCCAGAGAGGTGTATTTTACATAGGCTTCATGTGTTAGTCGCTGCTTGCAATTAATTGTTTGCACAACTTGGGAGTGAAAGTGGGCTCGGTTAAAAGGCATGGATAATGCCAGGGGGATTATTACAGCAAATTCAAGCATCGTTATCTTTTGCAGATGCGAGAATTATTCCTATTGCAAACGCAAGAATTATTCCTATTGCAAACGCAAGAATTATTCCTATTGCAAACGCAAGAATTATCACTGTTGCAAAGGCAAGAATTATTATTATTAGTATTGCAAAGGCAAGAATTATTATTACTTCTACGACTTCTCATTCGGGCAAGAGGTGCCATTGAGATTGGATTTGAAGTGGGTTAAAGCTTTCGCGACCTGATGAAATGACCTGTGCTTCTGTACTACAGTATAACTGATCCGTTTTGCTCCACAAAGGAGACAGAGGGGTCGCTTTCGTCAGCCCCTTGTCTCTGCAAAGCTTTCAATTTGCTTTTTTTCCCTCCCCCCCCCCCCTTTTTTTTGGGGGGGTGGAGAAAAAGGAACCTGCCGACACCAGCAAAAAAAAGAGAGAAAGCATTCATTTCCACTGCACCACCCACGTCAAGTGCAAGACAGCGAAATGCTACCTGCAGAGTGCAAACCTGTTTGCCCTCCAAGGCTAATCCATCCACTGTCTCTCAGAAGCACTCTGGTTCAATACGTGGTGCGGCAAATTACTTTCAGAGGTGTGATTTTCCCTTTAAAATACATTTACCCTTAATGATAATTACTGAATTTCTCTTCTCTCCCCCCAATTCCCCCTTTTCTAGCCTTTAAATAGACACAGAGTTGTCCCTATCTAACACAAAGCGCCCCCAGGGTGGTCCATCCATCCATCCATCCATCCATCCAAGTGGCTTCACTGGTTGCAGAGAGGAATCTCCGGAGGTAACTTTAGATCAACAGCCTCACTTGCCAAACCCTCTTTGAGTCGATGTCCCAACCCGACAACAACAAAAAAGCAATTGCCAAAGTCCACCGACACCAACACAGCAATAGGACGAGGAACCGAAAATCTCGGTCGCCCATTGAAAAAAAAATGCGAGTCATAAAGATGCTCCTTTTTTGCATTTAAAAAAACGAACTGCAATAGAAGCTTAAAAAAAAATGGACTTTTTTTCCCCCCTTCTTCTTCTCCCCTACCCCCCCCCCCCCCCCCCCCACCCCACCCCACCCCACGCACCCACACACACAAAAAAGAAACAGCCTTTCCACATCTCCAAAGAAACAAAAGTAACCATAACAGCGATGCAAAAATAACTCAAACCAAAGTGCACACGTTTGCAATCATTCCAGGAGACGGCTTTCTCAGTCGCTGCACTGACATACACGAGGAGTGAGTGTTAAACTCAACAGCAACACCTTAATCATTTCACAGCCACTCTGAACACGTTTGGTTTTGCCCTTCAACACGAGAGTTTTTTTTCGACCCCCCCCCCCCTTTCCCCCCCCCCAAAGACTTGCTCTAATCTTTGAATGCATCTCCATAACTCGGTTTAGAGTCTGGAAGCGATTTAGTGGATGTGTGTGTGTGTGTGTGTATATATGTATATATAAAGAAAAATGTGGGGTCTGTGTCTCTCTGTTGCTGGAGTGGTCAGTTTCACGCAGATTCCACTGAGCAGCGAGGAACACAGTGGGGGGGGGGGATGGAGGGGATGGAGAGGATGGAGAGGATGGAGGGAAGATGAGAGACTGAAAGGATGACCAACTCGCCACAGAACGCAAACGCTTCATAAAATATTGATTGATAGATAGATCGATCGATCGGTCAATACACTAAGGCCAATATTTCCGGGGATTAGCACTGACCTCCACACACCGCCCACAGGTGAACGCTGCCCGGACACTGGATGCGAACTATTGCCCCGTTTTACTCCAAACTGTGCTGGAAATCCAGTGCCCCGGACCCTTACACACTGCTCCATCCTCTCCCAGAGAGCAAATGAAGATCGTTAAAGAGTTTTTGCGCTCATAGGTTGACGAGTCTGTGTGTCTCCCGTGAAGTTTTTTTTTGGGTGAGGGGGTGGGATGGGGGGAGAGAGAGAGAGAGAGAGAGAGAGAGATGGAGATTTGAGCTGTTTCTCGGTCCTGTTGCCTTTGGCTGTTTGTGTGGTTCAGACACAACAGGTGTCACCCAAACTACTGACTGATCCACTGAAGGCAATGCTTTTTTTCTCTCTCTCTCTCTCTCTCTCTCTCTCTCTCAAATGAAATCAATCAATACACGTTGGCGATCGATAATAAATGATCGATAGACAGACAGATCGATCAATCAATCAATCAATCACTTACCCTGGGTCCGCTGGATCTCTGAGCCCGGGTCCCCGGGAGGGACACGTAGAGAAGAAGGATACAGTGCAAGAGCACCGCAGTGTGACACAGTCTGGACATGGTGCGCGCGTGTCGGCTCCTTTTGGGGCAAAAAAATAAGAAAATCCTACAACTTCTTCGGCAAAATGTCAATCAGATTCCCAGACTTTGGAATTCCTGGCCGGGATGGATCTGCAGTCGCTGCCAGTGGGCGAGACGAGGCTGTTTTTCTTCTCCCCCCCACCCACCCACCCACCCACTCTCCCTTTCTTTTCCTTATTAATTTCTCTCTCTCTCTCTCTCTCTCTCTCTCCAAAAAAAAACGAGACTGTCCCCCACACTCACTCACACACTCACACACTCACTCACTCACACACTCACACGCACACACACACCCCCACAAAGAAAAATGTTAACTGCTCATCTGATTTCTCGCACTCTCTCAAATGCACTCACTCACTCACTCACTCACTCACTGGGGTCTGTCTCTGTGTGTGTGTGTGTGATTCCCTGCAGCCCAGACCCTCACACATGCCCACTCCTGGGTGATAAATCGCAAAGGTTCCCGTTATAAGGCAACGTCCCTCCCCCCCCCCCCCCACCCCGTCCCCCCCCCCCCCCCCCCCGAGGCTGGGGCTGGAGCAGCAACGATTGACTTTGCTCTCACCCAATCGCAGAGCCTAAGGGCGCTTTTGGGGGCTGAGACGATGGTGTGAAGCACAGACCAATGGACCCCTCGGTAGGTGTGGCTCCAAACGTATTGCAAAAGTTGCTCCAGACACACACACACACCACTCACAAAAAAAATCCACTCTTATCCTTATTTCCCAGGCGCTACCCGAAGCACTGCTCGAAGAGCCACTGAAATCAGCGACTTCCCTCTGGAGTTCGGTCTCACTCGGAGTCACATTCTTCTGGTGGTTCGAAACCACAATTGCACTCCGGAACACCCAAGTGTGTGGGAGAGATGTCTTATTGCTGCAGTGTTTGTGTGGGGGGTGGGGGGGTGGGGGGGGGGGGGTGGGAGGAAAGGAGGGAGGGAGGAAATGACTCGACTCGACTGCATTGCTTTGCTCCACCTTAACGATTTCATTCCTCCTAAGGTTTCCTCCTGAAGTTTGCGGCGTTTAACCCCTCGTGCTTTCCCCCCCGACGTGCACTCGTCAATCCACGACTGCTTGTGTGGACACCGCCGTGCAAAGTTAGCCGCTGAGTTTCGCCCATAGAAGTAACGCAGTCAAATCCACTTTACAGTATATTCTGTGACGCACTTTGAGACGTCTCGACAACAGGATGAGGCGCCATAACAAATGCAAGGATTATTATTATTATTATTATCATAAATGGCATTGATAACCCTTTAAGACGGCTGCATTGGAGGGAACCTGCGAAGTGGGATTTTCTGTTTTTCGGGCGATCGCACCAACCCGACTTGAGAGTTGCGGCAAATGTTCCCAGCAAAGCTTTGATTAAGCTCCCAATCACCATCAATCAGTTACCGAATTTCCAGTCGGTTTAACGCAATTTTTGCAGTGTTTTTTTTCATCATTGCGTTTTCCCGCGTTTCGCCCACAAAATACACAGTCACTCCACTCGACATCCTTTGAGGAGTCGCAGCGATGATTTGTTTTTGTCAAATGCAAGAATTATTATTATGATTGATAATATGATTCACATAATTAGACTGTGAGCTGGGACTGCAGTGGAGGGAGGGAGGGAGGGCAAATGTTTACTCTTCCCCTGTTGCACAGATGTTGACTCACTAGTTGTCTTGGTGTCTGGTAACCAGAAGGCTGATCGCCTTTTGCAGGTGTTATTGGGGGTGGGGAGGGGGGAGAGAAAGAGGTGGGGATGGGGGGATGAAAGAGGGGCGAGTAGGGGGTGGGGGGGGGGGGGGGGGTGGAGGGAGATTTAAAGACCAGCTTTAAACTGGGACCAGAAGCTGATTCTTAAGCCCATGGAAACGACTTTCACGTTTAACCTCTGGAAAACCCCTCAACTTTCGTTTAACCGTTTCGCTCCTTCGTTTTATTATTTTTTTTAAAAAATAAGGGCAGTTCTTTATTTTCTTCCAAAAGCAGCAGCAGCAGCAACAACAACAACAACAACCAACAACAACAACAAAAAAGAGAAATGGCACTTTGGAGATCGCAAAGGGTTGAAAACGTTTGAATTTCGCAGCAGAGTTTCACGGTGAGAAAGAGAGAGACAGAGAGGGGGGAAAAAAAGAGTGAGAAAGGTGTCTTTCAGAGAGACCAGTGTCCCGTAGCAATGATTTGACTGCGAATTGCTTGTCCCCTGTGTTGCTCTCAGGAGGTGAAGTTTGTTTTACTGGCGACTTGAGGGGCAACTGAGAGGATGACACTTATCTCTTGCGTATGGGAATGGATCAGAGAGAAATGTGTCAGTCAACACACACACACACACACACAGAGCAGAGGATGAGGGAGGGATGGAGAGAGACGGTGAGAGAGAAAGAGAGAGGGGGAGGAGAAGAAAGAGAGACAGACAGACATAGAGAGAGGGAGAGAGACATGAGGTTGGACTGTTACAGCGATATTCGCAGCATTGGTCAAAATTGCAATGCGGATTCGCAGGAAGACAGCGATGTTCCTTAACGATTCGTGGGTTTTTCTTATTAAAAAGCAAACGCGCAAAACGGGGTTGAAAAGACTCCCAAAAACGCAACGTCCAAATTGTACAATGTGCACAAGAACCGGTGCAACGCAAAGGCGTCGCTTAACAACGGGAATGCGTTGCAAATATACGAATCCTGTAAAATACCGTAAAATTCGGGGCAAAAGCTGGAAATAAAACCCTCCTTTTTTTTTGCTCGGGGGCATTGGGCAAACGAAAAATCGCCCAAACATCTGACCGACCTCCCCCACTCCCCAGGTTGCAAAAAAACACACACACACACACACACCCCACACAGACACAATCACAACCGCAGCAGAAAAAAATCTTGAATTATTATCATTATTATTATTACATTATTATTAGCATTATCGTCGATTATTCCCTGAATATTAGCATTGCAAGAAAAAAAAACATTGCACGTCGTTTCACTCGCAATGAAGAGTGGAGCAGGACAAGACTATTTTGTTGCATGAGCACAGATTGATGCACTCAACAAAAGCAAAGGCTACACCCCCCCCCCCCCCCACTCCACCCCCCCACCAAAAAAAAATGCACGACTTAATTGAATGCATCAGTAAAACGCCACATGATTTTTTTTTCCCCTTTCCCCTCCCATGAAATTTCCACGTTAGCAACTTTCCTTTCCTTAGTTTAAGGTTATGACCCTAAACAAATTGGTGGTTGCACAGCCGTTCTCTCCACAGCTCTTCCTCTCTCTCCCTCTCCATCTCCTACTTTTTATCCCACATTTTTCGGGGACAACAACAGATCGATCAGAGCTGCTGTCCCAACGTTAAAAAAAAACTCGATGGATTGACACACTCACTTTTTTTTTAAAAAAAGAAAACTCCACAAAGTTTTAAAACCGTGCATTTTTTTTTACCTTTTTGTCGCTTTTTATTTTTTTTAACACCCCCCCAACACACACACACACACACACACACTTTGGGGAATGGACTATATAATAATAACCTTTGCATTTTCATTTCTAAAAATTCTTATTGTTCTTCTCTTTCGCCCCTGCAAACAAAAAAAAGACTTCCCCCACAAACGCTCACAAATACACACACACACACACAAAGAAAAATGTTGACCACTTGTGTTCTCAGATATATATATATATATATATATCAGTCCCAGGAATTGACAGATATCAGTTTCTCTCTCTGTCTGACTCTCCCACTTCTTCCCAACCTATATCAAGCTAACATGTGTTTAAATGCCCTTTCCTCTCCTCTCCCTTTGCTCACTTTGTTGTGGCAGGTGTACAAACAATACTATTCACACAACTAATTGCAGGTTCATTTTCCAGGCCATTTCTACCTGTTTTTTTGTTTAACCCCTCCACAAAAAAAACGAAATTATAGCCATGAGTGTGTGTTTTTTCTGTCTCTCTCACTCTCTCTCTTTCCCTTTCCTCCTCTCTCTGTTCCTTGCCATTGCCAGAGATCTCTAACCCTTACAAAGGGCGAAATCCATCTGTTTTGGATTTTAAGGTGCCACAATTTGTTTTATGTTGTCCGCGGTGGCCATGGAAACGTTTAATGAGTTTGGGCTATTTCAAACGTTTGTACCTTTCACGACCGGCGAACATTTAATACATACCCAGTCAAAATCCGCACAATTTCACCCCACATTTAAAAGTGGGGTGCAATCTCCCATTAAAGATTCGGGATTCATTCTGTCTACATGTTAGATTTACTGATTGCATTGCCCCACTGTCGTTCCTGCACTTTAAATACTCCCCCACCCCCCAAAAATGCCACATGTTAAATTCCTCGTGTAACAATAATAATCCTTGCATTTGATATAGCGCTTTTCACATCTTCTAGACGTCTCAAAGCGCTTCACAGAATATACTGTAAGGTGAATTAATTGACTGTACATTTGTGGGCGGGTAGAAGTTTTGTAAAACGTTTGTTATTAAGGAGATTTCAATGTCACAGCCAATTTGGAACAAAGCAGCGCTGGATACTATTTTTTACTCTCACAGGGGAAAATCTCTGCGATGGTTGAAAAATACCCCCACGTCCCACATCTTCCTGAAATCCTATTCAGCCCCCCACCCTGTGTGTGTGCATGTGTGTGTGTGTGTGTGTGAGTGTAAAATAAGAAGCTTTCTTGGCAACTATCTCATGGACAGATATTACCCTGATGCATCGTTTCAGGTTTCTTTAAAAAGGGTTTTGCCCACAAAATACACAGTCAACCCAATATGAAGGGCTTTGAGACAGCTCAACCATGTGATAAGGCACGATATCGAATGCAAGGATTATAATAATAAAATAATAATAATAAAATGCAAGCATTGTGATTATTATTTGCAATTCCCCACAGTATGAAAGCATTGAATTGGCATGCTCTTTTTTATGGTGTGTTTCAGTCCCATTCCTTACATTTTCTTCCATCACCTGTCTTGTAGCAAAGCGTTTGACTCATTTTATTTTTTTAATATCCTTTATTATTTTTAGTAGTTTGGTTTAGGGGATGGTGGTGGCATGATACGAGTCTGCATCAACTGGAAATATAAATTACTAATGTAGTCCTTAGTTTTTTTTATATATATAAGAAGGGGAGAGGGGTTAGCAATCATTGATTTCTCTCTCTATTGG